TAAGCATGTGCTTTTTAACAAAAAAAATTTTAAAAATTAATTCTTTTCAATCACCAATAAATTAATTAAATATGATTAATTTAAAATATATTTTTATTTATAATCTATTCGCCCGTCCTCGGGATAAATCCTAGTAATTAAAAAAGTAAGCTACATTTAAGACATGTGTTCGTCTATCTGATGCATCATGCATATGATGGTAGTTCTGTGAAAATTGGAGATGTGTAAGGAATAGATGGTGGCGACCACGTCGAAGTAAAACCAGTGAAGGAACAATATTTTTTTTTTGTTGATAAAAATTAGACTTTTTGACCAAATTAGATTTTTTTGTTCGGTTTAGCCGTTTAAAATTACTTGGTTCATATTAAACTGATTTAAACCCTAATATATAGATAATTAATTTTTGAACTATTGATTCATAGAGAAATATTATTTAATATTTTTAATTCAGAGAAAAATAAGTTTACAATTTTCAATTTATTGGAATCTAGGATGAGGTCATAGTTCGGAGGAGATATGATATTATATGATAGTTATCAAGGGGAAATAGATCATCCACCCGAATAATATAAAAATATTATAAACAAAAAATTAGGACACATTAGTTTTTTTTAAGAGCATGTGCGCTTCACAACATGCTTTCCACCCTTGTAATTCATTTGTTCAAAAAGAAAAAAAACTTGCTTCTGAAGTTTCAAAAGGTATTTGATTCATAAGTTTCATCACAACGGCTCTATCGTATCATGGAAAAAAAACGCATCCAATCACTCAGTCTCGCAATTACTCTCGGTCTTGGGCTCATTATCAATCTTGTCTCCCTGTTAACTACAACTACGACACAAATCACTCTCCACTCCGTCAGACATGTAAAACTTGGTTTGCAAGCAATTTAGTTTTATTCTTCTTTTTCTTCAAAAGTTCTAATTGTTTTCAGTTCTCAAGGCTATGGATATGATAACCCCATTGGGTTCTTTATCTTTTGCAATGGTTGCCATCAAATACAATTGGGGGTCTAATTGGCTTCATGGACTTGATGCCATGTCATAAGTCATTGTGATGGTGGCAATGCCGGTTTATTACTTCTTCATACTCGCGGTGATTCTTATTCCATGTCTGTGAAACCTTCGCCTGCATTGGTGTCTCAGGTTCCTAGTTCAAGCGTTAGTTTATGGCTCTTTAGCTTGGTTTACAGATGAGCTTGCAGAGCAACATCCGTAACCGTTTTTGATTGTAGCTTCAAGCTCTTGGGCAATACACTTCTATCTAACATCACTAAAACTCAAGATTACTGGAGATTATGGAGTGACTATAGGATTGATTACGGTGGCTTTGGTGATCAGTGGCGAAGCTAGAATTTTTTTAATCGGGGTCAAAGTTAATTAAAATTTTGCATTACATATCTACAGAAGAAAGTGCACAAAATTTTCACATGAAATGATGTATCATCTATAGCGCATGATATCTTAAGATCATCTCCAATGGTGCTTAATTTTTCTTTTTTTTTTTACTTTATTTTGAAATCAATTTTCTCCAAATGATGTTTTATTTCTTGCTTCAAATAAAAGCAATGAACAATGTTGCTTCAAATTTAAAGTTATATCGTTAATTGTTTCAGTCTTTGAAGCTGGGCTTCCACTAAGAGGTTGTAGTTGAAATCTTGTTAACTTTAACATGTAGTCGTGACTCATAAAAATGTTTTTTTCGTTTCACGGGTACGATATCAAAGCCGGAAAAAAATTAGCGGAACAACGCCCTCGTGTCTGTGGCCAGCTCGTCTGTAAAACAGCTGATGCAATGACATAAAAACCGCTCAGGATAGCTGACAGAAAGATCTCTACAAAACCAAAACTTGTCAAAATTGGTATCCTTCTCCTATCTATCTATCACCTGTTTTTAACAAACTTTCATTACCCTCAAAAGTCTGATTCTCTGATACTACTACTATAATATTTCCACGAAACAAGGACACGACTTGTTATGGTCTAGTTTTGTTGATTCGGCCACTTAAGAATCCCAAATAGTTAACTGTTAAATTTGATTAAAAGTAGATGTATGTTAACTTTTTAAACAAAATTATTTCAAAAATGATTAAATATTTATCAAACAATGTCATTTTGTTTTTAAAAACACTTAAAATATTATTTTTTACGAACTAGAACCCTAAATTGATTTCATCTTCTTCATTTTCGTGTGTAGAAGATGAAGTCGATTTAGAACTCTGATTTTACAAAAAATGCTTTAATTGTTTAAAGAAACAAAACTACGTCGTTTAACTACTTTTTTAAAAAAAACAACATTGTTTAGAAAGTAAAAATCATCTATTTTTATAATTAAATTTAACAGTTAACTATTTAGGTTTCTTAAATGGCATAGTCAATACAATATAAAAATGACTAATATTTGAAAATTGAAGATTTTTTGGAGGTTTTATTTGCAAATTCAATATTTTAATGGCTGTTTTCTCAAATTAATTTTCATATGAGTCAAACTCAAACACGTAACACATTAATTTGTATCACAAAACATTTAAATTTAGAAAGTAAATAATAATAAAACACGAAAATCCAGCGATTGGTGTGCTCTTTTGTATTTTCAAAGTTGTGGACTTTTTTTCCTTTCTCTCTCTTCTCTCTTCTGTCTCGTCTTCGAGATCAATCGAAAAGGAAGTATCATTCGGAAGAGAAGACAGAGAAGCTAATGGGTTGGATCCCTTGTTCCGGGAAATCGAGTGGGAAGAGTAAGACAAGGAGGAGGAACAGTGACGAAAACCTCAGCAGGAATTGCTCTGTTTCTACTTCAGGTATTGCTCTGTAAGAGAGTGATTCTCAATTTCATCGTTTTGATTCTGGGTTTAGGATAAAATTATAGAAAGTCGTAAGCTTTTTTTTCATTACCTCGCTGTCTGATTCAGCTGAGCCACTGTTTGGTAATGCTGATTAGGGTTTTTTGACTTTTTGGATATAAGATTCTATTACTTCGATTTCAGTAGCTTTAGACTTTTTTTCAGTCTTGTTCTGATCTACTTGTGTTACTGTAAAACAAGTATCTTGCCCTGATTTGCTTTACTTAAGCTCGTGTTGGTAGTGTCGTTTTAGTGTAAATGGGAATGTTACTATTACTGGCCTTTCCCCATCAAGGATGATAATTTGGTTCTGATTGCTGGATAAGCTTTTATTAGTTGAACCTGCGGTGTAAAGCATTGATCTTGAGACAATTATGCCCAGTAATCTTATTTCTTCTTGCCTTTTTTTTTTTATTATTGGTAGAGAAATCCAAGGCCAAATTGTCTGTGAGCGAATCCAAAAGCAGAGGGTCTGATAACATTGTGGCACAGACGTTTACATTCTCTGAGCTAGCTACTGCCACTAGAAACTTCAGAAAAGAATGCCTTATTGGTGAAGGAGGATTCGGTAGAGTTTACAAAGGTTACTTAGCAAGCACTAACCAGGTTCATTTCTTTCTTTTCTACTTTTTGAAAGTTACTAGTAGTTAGTGAAAGCTCATGGACATCATTTTATTTAATTTGTAGACAGCGGCTATCAAGCAACTTGATCATAATGGTTTACAAGGAAACAGAGAGTTCCTCGTTGAGGTTCTCATGTTGAGTCTTCTCCATCACCCAAATCTCGTTAACCTTATTGGTTATTGTGCCGATGGAGATCAAAGGCTTCTCGTCTATGAATACATGCCTCTAGGTTCACTTGAAGATCATTTGCACGGTATATTCACTTCTTTACATCATAATGCCATTGAATACTACATTTGAATGGTTTATAAGTTGTTTTTCATTCTCCAGACATTTCACCTGGTAAGCAGCCACTTGACTGGAACACCAGAATGAAAATAGCTGCAGGTGCTGCAAAAGGGTTGGAGTATCTGCATGACAAAACCATGCCTCCAGTGATCTACCGGGATTTGAAATGCTCCAATATTTTGCTGGGAGATGACTACTTCCCGAAGCTATCTGACTTCGGTTTAGCTAAACTCGGCCCAGTGGGTGACAAGTCTCATGTCTCCACTCGTGTTATGGGAACATATGGATACTGTGCTCCCGAGTACGCAATGACAGGCCAGTTAACACTCAAATCAGACGTTTATAGCTTCGGTGTGGTTCTTTTGGAGATTATAACTGGTAGGAAAGCGATAGACAATTCAAGATGTACTGGAGAACAGAATCTTGTTGCGTGGGTAAGAGAAAAAAAGAATGGAACAAACTTTGTTTTCTCTCTATTAGATTCTTCATTCTAATTGTCTGCTCTGTTTCAGGCAAGGCCTCTGTTTAAAGACAGGAGGAAATTCTCTCAAATGGCTGATCCAATGCTTCAAGGACAATACCCTCCGAGAGGATTGTACCAAGCCCTTGCTGTGGCAGCAATGTGCGTGCAAGAGCAGCCAAATCTAAGGCCTGTCGTTGCTGATGTTGTCACTGCACTCACTTACCTCGCCTCCCAAAACTTTGATCCTATGTCTCAGCCAGTCCAAGGCTCCCTTTTCTCTCCCGGGACTCCACCTAGATCAAGGAGGGTCTGAGAACAGATCCTTAGAAACGCTATGTTGTGAGTTGTTTACACTAGACCGATTCCGAGTTGTCTTTTTTTCTTTTTGGGATGGGTTTCAGACTAAGCATGAAAGTGTTTCTTAAGAGCTGTTTGTAGATATGTGTAAGAAGAGGGAGATTTTATATAGAGCCGTGTTTACAATGTTGTTATAGCCATATAGGTGTATGAGTCTTCACATGTAATGTTATGTAGCAGTTGCTTTGAAATGTGACAATGTTCATTATATGGTATTTGAGTAATTTATATGTTTTCTTTCCAGTATTATTGTATTATTTCCACACAATAATTAAAGACCATATATTTGAGTAATTTATATGTTTTCTTTCCAGTATTATTGTATTATTTCCACACAATAATTAAAGATTTCGATTGCATTACCATCATCTGTGCTGTGCTTATAGGCGACAAGATTAAAGTCCAGTGCTATATACTATGATGCAAGTTTATAGTTTATTGGTCTAACAACAAACCAAAGGATGGCAAAAGTTGAATTTCCAAAGTGTGAAATGTTTCATTATTGCATATTATCATTTAGCTTCAACACTGTTGGTCTGCGTTTGAGAGATAACAATATTACGCTAGATTATTGATTAACAATACACATCACGTTGTTGCTGCATATGACTTGAATTATACATCTTATTGCATAAAGTGGTTCTTGCTTTATATCCAAAGACCATGCCACCGCTCATACACTTTACTGCTTCCTCACTGCAAGAACAAAAAAAAAATCAGAGTGAGATTCAGAATTTAGTGTAGACCGTTAAGCGAAAAACATTTCACAAATTCTTTGTTCAAAGACAGTAACTCTTTGTGAAGCAACCAGCATTCACACCTAGACAACTATATATACCCATATATTCTAACCCCCAAGAAAAAGATCATTGGATACGATAAAGTTTACCATGAATTTCTTCTTGAAAATCTGCAGAATCTCCTTAGACTCAATCTTCGTTTGTGCATAGGCATCAATCTTGTTCATTTCCTGCAAACAAAATTTCAATCAGTTTTAGTAGCATAATCCCTTATGAAGACAAGTATCATCTTTTCAGAGTTGCATGGAAGATTTTGCTTATATATATACCTCGATCCAAGCTGATAGTTTGGGACGTTCTGCAGTAATGTCACACTTAAAAAACTCGTTGAATACGATTTGAAACCTTTCAATGAACGGGATATACGCTATATCAACCTGGAACAAGAATATACAACCCATTAAGACGAGAAAAGAAAGAAACAAATGATCTGAAAATATAACAGAGAAGCCTTTTTACCAAGCTAAACTGGCCGAGGAAGAATGGCCCATCATCAAACTTGTACAGAGAGTTTTCCAGATAATCTAACACAGGTGCTGTAGCAAGAAGATGAAAATTCCAGTCATATATGTTTTGCTTTCATCCCCAAAAAGGCTGAACGTTTGAAGAGTCTTACCGGTTTCTTTAAGAGGATCTCCTTTGAGGGACGTATACACAGTCTTAATGAATGTATCAGTGTACTTCAACAACTCTTCCCCATACTCTCTTTTTGCATGATCCTCAGGGAAAAGCGAAGGGCCTTCAAAAGTGTTATCGAGATATTTGATCAAATCCAGACTCTCACCTATGATCTTTCCATTGTGCTCAAGTGCTGGAACCTGCAACCAAAACAACGAAAAAATTAAACTTAATACCATTAACAATGAGATGAGTAACTTGGGAACCATTTTAAAGAAGCAATGTTTAAGATGTGAATTAGATAAAATGGATAAGGGGTTGTTAACCTTGTTTTCAGGATAGACTTTCTCCTTGTACCAAGCAGGCCTATTCCCAAGATCCAAAGGAACAAGTTTAATCTTTTCTTGCAGTCCCTATAAATCCAAACCAAAACAAATCCCAAAAAGCTTACTATATAAGTAAACATAAGCAGAAAGGTTAAATTTGTTTGCAGAACCAGAGTACTTAACAATATATTGTTAACAACTTAATGTAGATTGAACTAAGGGACATAAAAAAAGACACTGATTATATAGTTAACAACTTTCTCAAGAGAAACAAACCGGCGACTTAATCCAAGTAGCGTTGTAATAATACCTTGAAGTTTCTGGTGATCCAAACTCGCTGGGCATATGGGCAAACGTAGCTTGTGTACAATCTTTACTCGTTGGGTTAAAGAAAAAAAACAGAAACAATATTAAGATCACAAAAAACTCAAGCTAACTATAGAAAGTCATAAAAGAAGAACCTAGTGGTTCCATCGAAGAGGGAGGGTGGATCGGCTATAGCATCGAGCGGAGCTGGACGATCCTCTAAAACACTGTGTGGATCAAAGTAACCAAATCATGAAAAGATAAACTGAACCAGTCACAGAGCTATCATCGGCAAAAAAAAGAAGAAGAGAAGAAGAATCTTACGAAGGAGAAGCCATGAAGGGAATTGTAATACGGAGCTTTGCTTTTTGAAGATTATAGGTTCAAGAATCTGATTATATACCAAAAGAAAACCCAGAAAAGTAACGCTACGAACAGAGAGTGTGGAAGCGTTTTCTTCGTTTTAATTACACTTGTCGTCGAGGCTGTAGACACGTGTCAGTTCCGAGGATATTTGTCGGTAACTCAATATCACATCACATCGTGGCCCCTAGTGGGTACGATTAATAAGTAGGATTTAGGCCCATTTATTTACCCATAACCCAAACTCACTTTTCTTGTCTACATTTTTAGTATTTTACGCTCGTATAGTTTTTTTCTCCCTTTTTTCGTATAGTATAATATAGAGAAATTAGTGGACACCAAATTACTTTTTATTATCATTATAAAACAAGATCTAGTAAACTACATTACAAAGCTAGTAATGTAGTACTCTCCAGATCACTTTTATTAAAATCAAATCTGATATCACAACCAATATTTCATCAAAATTATTGAGTTCATATATCCAACAACATGCATATATCATGTGATGTAACTTTCTCACTTGAGAGGAACCAGAAATATTAATTATGTATTTAGAAAAATATTAAACCAATAAGTATTACTTATATATAAAATATCAAAAAAATGTATAATCCAAAAACCCAAAACAAAGTTTTCGTACACCTCAACATTAACATGACCAAGAAAGCAAACATGAAAGTTCAGGACAATTTTTTTCCATGCTAAAGACAATATACCTTATATGTGTTTAGACTTTAGAGTCTCGAAACGTGATTTTGGTATTGTAAAAATTTGGAAACTCTTTTCATAAAACGACTCTTCATATACTTGATGACATGCTTTTGGTTATCTTTTGTCTCGGTATAAGCATCTATTTTATTCATTTTCTGCACAATACCTCGAGCATTAGCATGATGTTAGAGCAGACCCATCAGTAAATCTGAGAAAGAACTTCACAACTTTTCATTATATGTTTTTCTTATTAATTTTTTCGTTTGACTAGAAAAATAATAATAATAAGTGAACCAATTGCAGGTGACCACGTGACGTGGAGCCCATAAAACAATTGTAATACATGTTAATAACGAAAGACTCATGCGAGACAATATCACTAAATCAAAATATAAAAGTATATATTTTTTTTGGATGTGTGTGAACCTTTGGCAATATCCCTCAATGGACATTCTCTTATGTTACTTCACTTATTTATGTGTTTGACTCTGTTATATATATACCTCGATCCAAGTAGCTAATTTCAGACGTCATTCTAGAGTAATGTCATACTTAGAGCATCTTTAACGGGATAGTTTAGGAAGGAGGAAAAGAGCGTTTAAATAAATTAGTTTAATAGTAGGTGAGTCCCACCCAAAATGTAACAATCAGCCCCTACTGGAGTACGTAGATTTATTAGTTTCTAATCTATTATGTAACGTTACTGCCGTTCGGTAAACTGTAATTGTGGACCGACTATTTGAAATAAAATACTTTTCCAGTGTTAAAATAAAAAAGCTTTGGCATTTCAACTGTTTGCATCCGACTCGTGATTGGTTCTATTTTTATCACACAAAAAATTTTAAACTCAAAATAAACATCTACGGATAATGGTTCTCCTAAGAAAGGCTGAACGCCTTCATTCAATGTGATAAAAGCTAATCAACCTGGAAAAATGGTTAAAATTATCTACTTTATTAAAATAGAAGTAACAATATAGATTACCCCTTAGATTTACAATTTATTTACAACATAATACCAATGAGTAATTAAATGAACCTATATTTAAGTAATCTATATTTTTTAAAATTAATAAAGTAATAATTACTCATAATTCGATGCATTTTATATCTTTTCCAAAATTAATAAAATGTTTCCTAAATGGAATTCACAATAAATAAATTAAGTATAAATTTTTCAACTTACATATTACATATCAATAATATACACAAATATTTATGTAATAATATAAGTTACATTTGTCTCACTCTTCCCCACCAGCCACGATACTCTCCTTTTTCTTTTTCTTTTTTTTTTTAAAAAATAAAAATAAACTAATCTTCACCAATATAAATATATTACATTACCAACTTACATGTATATAAAATAATTTATTATATATTTCCATAAATTTTTGATTTTCAAAAAACAAATGTGAAAATGATAGTGATGCAGTTGATGATTTACAAGACAAAATAAAATCAATCAGTATAAACCATAAAATTACTATGTTTGTAATTGTAGGTATCATTATTAAATAATTATTTAGTACGAATAAATTTTGAAAATATATATTATCACTTAAAAAATATTTGTTTATAAAAAATATACGCACAGACGTAGTTTAAATGTACACAAACTTAAGCCCATTTAAAATTTCTTATCAGTTACATCAAATTTAAATCTTAATTTTTATATATTCCAAATTTGGTAGAAGTTTAACAAATAATTTATTTTCGTACATATGTTATAGCTAATGTATCATTTATAATTAGCATGCTAATCCATAATTGTCTATTTTCAAACTTTTCATTTAAACAAAATTATTTGCTAACCGGTGAACCAGTAAAATATAAATAAATAGTTTATACTCATTCGTTATATAGTAAACTAACAGAGTAACTCTCTTCAATTTACAAATCAACGAAGGGTCTAACTAGATTTAAATATGTAAACCGGGTTTTTCAATGAAAACGGGTCACCGGTTCTTACGGTTTTGGAGCGGTTTTACTGGTTCAAGTCCAATCCGGTTTTTGAACTGACTCGGACTCGGCTAACCGAAGGAGTCACGGTCGGACCGGTCCAACCGGCCGGTCCGGTTTTGAAAACCTTGTTTGAAACTAATGTTTGCATTTTAGTGAAAATAAAATCTTATATACTGCAGAAAATAAAATAGAATATACTGTAAATTGCAAACGCATAGGAAGGTTTTCTTTTCATATGTATTAAAATTTCAAGATGTTAGTCCATAAAAAAATCAAGAAACGCTTGTCTTTTCATTTTTATGATAAACACATATCATAACAAGCCAAAGTTTTTTTTGTAAAAAATAGGGTAATAAATAATAACACCAATCAAAGGTGTCAAACACATCTTACTTGATTCTTCTAATAAGCCCCCAGAGAATACAAGTCTGTCGGCAACTTCAGTTGGTATTAATTATGCGGATATTCATCTGATTATAGTATTATCATATAGTTTCAATACTATTCATCTGTGTTTGATAGATAATATATATTACGATTGATTAACAGTAAAATACAGATCAGGATGTAGGTGCGTATGACTATACATCTTATTGCATCAAAGGGGTTCTTGCTTCATACACTTTATTGCCTAGTGCAGCTTCCTTACTGCAACCGCAAGAATATAAAACCAGAGTAAGATTCAAATTTGGTATAAACAAACGGCCATTGGAGAAAGACTGGTTCGAATTTGCTAAACCGACTCAGTTTTCATTCCAAAAGCAACAAACAACGATAAACTCATAGCTTCTAAACCATATAACTCAGACTCATGTGGTTATTCATTAATAAATAATATGCATGCTAATTAAAGTACTTACCAAGAGTTTTCTCTTGAAAATCTCCACAATCTCTTTAGAGTCGGTCTTTGTTTGTGCATAGGCATCAATCTTGTTCATTTCCTGCCAACATATAATATCAAATCGCTTTTAGTATAATCTATTCAGACTTGCATGAAAGATGTGCTTATATATATACCTCGATCCAAGCTGATAGTTTGGGACGTTCTTTAGTAATGTCACACTTGAATAGGTCATTGAGTACGATTTGAAACCTTTCAATGAACGGGATATAGGCTACATCAACCTGCAATAAAATAACAGTACATTAAGACAGACAAAAAGAAGAAACAAAAAAGGATCTCAAAAGTTTATCAGAGAGAGGCCTTTACCAAGCTAAACTGGCCGAGGAAGAATGGCCCGTCATCAAACTTATACAGAGAGTTCTCCAGATAGTCTAACACAGGTGCTGCAGCAATAACATGAAATTTCCAGTCATATAGTTTTTTTTTTTTTTTTTGCTTTCACCCCCTAAAAAGCTTTGAAGAGTCTCCTTACCGGTTTCTGTAAGAGGATCTCCTTTGAGGGACACCCACAGAGTCTTAATGAATGTATCAGTGTACTTCAACAACTCTTCCCCATACTCTCTTTTTGCATGATCCTCTTCCTAGATATTAGAAAACAAAACTCAGAGCACAAGTAAGGGAAACAAACAAAGCTCTGTTGTATATATGGTCGTCGTGATCTTAACCTCAGGGAAAAGAGAAGGCCCTTCAAAAGTGTTATCGAGATATTTGATCAGATCAAGACTCTCCCCTATAATTTTTCCATTGTGCTCAAGTGCTGGCACCTGCAATGAGATTAGTAATTAACTTGGAAGAAGCAATGTTTAAGATGTGAAATAATAAATTGGATAAAGGGTTGTTACTTTATTTTCTGGATAAACTTTCTCCTTGTACCAAGCAGGTCTATTCCCAAGATCCAAAGGAACAAGTTTAATCTTTTCTTGCAGTCCCTACAAATCCAAAACAAAACCCAAAATCGTACGATACAGTTTGCAGAACCAGAGTACTTAAACAATAGTTTAAAATAAGAAAGACAAGTTTAAAACTGCATCAAGGACATGAGATTTGCCATGCAAGAAGTTAACTGGAAAGTTGCGTTGGTAATACCTTGAAGTTTCTGGTGATCCAAACACGTTGAGCATATGGGCAACCGTAGCTTGTGTACAATCTTTTAACAAAAGAATTATAAGATCATTAAAACCTCAAGCAACTATAGACTGACATCGAGAAAGTCATAAAAGAAGGATGAAAATGAAAAACCTGGTTGTTCCGTCGAAGAGAGCGGGTGGATCGGATGTAGCATCGAGCGAAGCTGGCCGATCCTCTAAAACACTTGTCTCGTAATTCGTAAAGGAACCAACATATGAAGTCATCAAAACACACACAGAACCCTGAAAACAAGTGTGAGAAAATTAAGAGAAGAAGAATCTTACCAAGGAGAAGCCATGGACGAAATGTATTACGGAGGAGCTCTCTGGTTCTAAACAACTTCAAGAATCTGATCAGATGTCAGAAAAGCAACGCTAAAAGAA